TTTGTACAAAAATAAGCCTGCCAAACAAGCTTACTGCTGCTTGCATCAGTGGCACATTGCATAAAGAATGAAAGTTTGAAATAAAAAACATTTTGAAGCACAATTTGATTTGTTAGGTACATGGTTGTGTGACTCAAATATCATGGGATTGATCTCTGCGTCCAGAATATAATACAACTAAGCTTTATCTGTTGCTTGCATGATCACAAACCCCATCTGATCATGTCAATCTGTTGTATCCCTGCTTGTAGATTGATGGTAAGTGGGTAATGTCTGTTGTGTTGCATGTCTCTGTTGAGCCACAAACCTGTCAGATGTGTGCTAGATTGAATTGTATAATGTTCCCCAGTTGTTGCAGCACCTGAGAAGTGATGTGTTAGGAGACAACTGTTTTGTCATTGTATTGAAATTGTAGTGTTATTCCAGGACCATGGCTGTAGTACTTCCAAGTATGCAGGTAACCATATGAAGAGCCATTGCACGGTGTGCCCACTCTGAGCACAGCCTAGACTGCCCACCACTTCTGCTGATGCCAGCTTTGGAGTAGGAGCACAGCCTGCTGCCACAAAGCCCGCTATAGCTTTTGTGGCATGTTTTGCCTCTTTTTCTGCAGATGGTGTCTAATTGGTAGTCTTCCACACAGATCATTATTACCACTATAAGCATGGTGATGGCCATTTGGGCGGCCACCACATCTTGCGCAATTTGTGGGGGTTCTACGTGCTGGGAATTGCTCCATTGATAAGTTGTGATATCTTTGCTCACACATGTCCTGACCATGTCTGAGTTCTGTCTTACAGCCAAAACATGAGGCAGTTGGTTCAGTCTGGGCTCAGCTTAGTTTAATTACATTAAGGTGTCCTTATGGATGTGATAATTGCATTGCATCCTTATACACACCCCTGAGTTCATCAATGCAGTTAAGTCACTGTAGGCATCCACATCCTAAGGCAGGCAAGGACTCTCAGCCTACAGCTTCAAGCTTTTGCCACACCAACTGGAACAAACACGGTTTGGTCGCGCACTGGCTTGCACATGCGGAGCTGCAGCACGCCACGGGGACATGCGGCGCCACACACAGCACGTCCGCTCGCCGCCGTGTCGCGGCAGGCGGCTCACGAGATCGAGCTGGGCGGCCGCGCTGGCCTGGCGCGCCGTCCAGGTCACCCGCAGCCCGCGCCTGGCCCGAGCTGCGACCCCCGGGTCCAGGTCACCTGCAGGGTGGTGCCTGGCCCGAGCCGCGACCCCGGGCCGGCTGCACCCTGGGAACGTCGCGCGCCGTCCGTGTGCGACCGCGATGACTGCTCCGGCTGCGCGGCCAGCTTTCGCTCCCACGCCAGACTTGTTCGAGGTTCTGCCGTGGCCTTTGCCCTAGGTCTGTGACTCTTGTAGATTGTGGTGGTATCTTGGTCTCAGTTTTTATCCGAACTGCGGGCGGATTTGGTTTCAGTTGCGGTTTCTGCTCTGCCATGGATTTCGTCGATTTCGCTTGAGTTCCTGATCATTTCCATAATAGTTTCGGTTTGATTTGAGGTTATGGTTCTGGTCGCAACCCCCGTCTCTGTTTTGCCACAATTTTTGCTCTCAGTTCGGGGCTCCTGCCGATTTGCTGCAATCGTTCTTCGTCGCACCACGTGGTCTTCCACGTGGTACCGCGTGGTACCACGTGGTACCACGTACGTCGTACCACGTGGTATCACAATTTCTTCCCTCTGATCTTTAATTTCCAATTCATTGGTCTAGACTCAATTGCGGTCGTTTGACGTAGGCATCCTCTCTCGGTTTTGTCGGCTGACTCGGTCGGAGCTCTCCCGCCACATCTCCGGCGCCCGTTTCTTGCGCTCGCCGCCGCCTGTGACGGCTCGCCGGGTGTTGCAGATGTCGAACGTGCAGCAGCAGCGGGTGTTGGTCGAGCAGCTGCGCCGTGAGGCGGGCATACGGCGCATCAACGTCTCCATCGCCGTGGAGGACATCAAGGTGAGCCGCGGCGACAGCGAGCTGAGCTTCGGTCAGGAGAGGCAGGGGTCTTGGTAACGCTGGCTGGCGGTCGAGTCGAGCCGGCGACCGGGATAGCGTGCTGGCGATGGGAGGGTTTGGTTGCGTTGGACCGCGGTCGTATTTGTTGCGAGTTGTAAAGGCATGTGCTGTGGATAGCGATTGCTGCGGCTTGGCTTGAGCCGAGGGACCACGTAGGCACCATATGGGCCGAGGGACGGTTGGGGCCAGTCGCTCAGGCACCAACAGCGGGCGGGCGCTGTGACCATGTCCGCGGTTGCCACAGTCCCTCGTGCGCGACGACGGCACCATTGTTGCCTCCTGAGACGGGAGAAGGCCGGCCCTGTGTCCGGAAATGGTTCCCGTTCAGTCCCGAGCGCGCCGAGTCGGAAGCGAAAGTCCGATGGCGCTCGCAGTCGGACGGCGGGCCCCCCGCAGTCCGGAAATGACGCCGTCGTTATCTGCTCCCCTGAGTGGGCAGCAGCCCCAGCTGGGCTGCCGTCGTGCGGCAGGACGCCCCCGCTGTGGTGAGATGGCGCCACCTCACCACCCTGAGTCGTCCCCCGCCGCCGCCGCTGGTGAGCGCAGCGGGAGCCCCGGTGTCCGGACATGACGCTGCCGCCGGCTGCCGGTCGTTCCGTCCGGTTCCGGACGCGCTAAGTGCCGCCGCCCTCTGCGGACAATCGGCATGCTCCGGTCGATGTCCAATCGGCCAACGCGCCCCGCCCGCGGCAGGAAGGCGCCACCCCGGCCCCATCAGGGTGTGCGCCCGTGGTGGGATATCCTGGGCTGGGCGTGCCAGCGGGCCCGGCGACGGAATACTATGGCTGCTCGTCGTGGCTCGCTTTGCCGGTAGGGGTATTGCATTGTGCTGTGGTCTTGAGCTAATGCATCGGCCGTCATGATACCGCCGAGTGTTCGCAGAACACTGGGCATGGTGACACAGGGCCCCAATTTAAAACGGCAGCCTTCGTCTCGAGGAAGCGTTTTTAAGCCGGACAGTGAGTTGATCTGGTTTAGGACCCTTGGATATGGTTGGGAGAAGGCTTTGAAAAGTAAGACGTTTGTGAGATACCTCTTGGACTCTGCATTTACAAATGCACACTAGATATGACAATTATATGACATCAAGAAAGGTATAGGTAATAAATCGGCATGTCGCAGGCGCCTTGCTCAATGCGAGACGTTTTTATTGTCTGTTATTTTTTTAGCTCTGGTGCAGCTTTCATTGAAATGATTATCTACGAAATACTTAATTTGTTATGACAAATATGGGAGGCTTCATTGCACTTTCTAATTGTGGGTCCAGGTTATCAAAGTTTCAGGGTACTTTAATGAACCATTGTACAAAAAAAGTAGTGAAAATATTTGATTTGGCATGCTGCAACAGCGCCCTCGTGAAACGACTGACAATGCTCCGGGTCAAAGTACGTCACTCGTGCGCAGCTCCCCTCGGCTTCTGCTGCAAATCCGCGTTTTTGTTTCAGAAATACATCGTGGACCACGAGCAGGACGACTACCTTCTGGTGGGATTCTCGTCTCAGAAAGCCAACCCCTTCAGGGAGAAGTCCTCCTGCAGTGTCCTTTAACACAGGCGAGTCCGCATTATCCGCGCCATGTTTGACGCTTATCGTTTGGCAGATGTGCAACTGGGAAGTGACGCCAGTTGGGATATGCCTCGTTTGGTTGGAGAAGTGTTGGTTTTGTCGTATGGGCGCCATATGACCAAGGTAGTCAGCGCGCCCTAAAGCCCAACCCATCATCATCATCACAGTTGTCCCGTTCTCATCGTGGAGTGGTGCACGGTGGTTGTAGGTTTCGCTTTACGTTGACCGTAGCCCGGCTGTGGTCGGGTTCTACACTCAACCAAATGTAATAAATTTCAGCTGATTTCATGGCTCGTAGCAGGGCCACACATTCCGCGCCAAGTGCGCCGTGGCCGTCACTAGCGCACTCTGTGTATGGTTTCCTAGAGCTATCCTGTCTGGTTTCCGATGGTGTCCGTCAGCGTCCGCTCCCTGGGTGGCCACAGCACGCCACCCCTGGCTGACGCCGTGCCCCGTTGCAGGTCTCGCCGCCTGAGGCCTCTCTTCACCATCGCCGCCACCTCGCACCCGGCCGCGCTGCTTTGTATGTTTTATCTTGACGGTGCCCGTTCGGCGCCCGCCCCGGCTTCACACGCGCGCGTGCCCCCGCGGCGAGCCCCTGTCGCCCGGCCGCGGCCAGCGCCATGCGGCGCCGGCCGTTTCTTATATCTAGACTAGTCTTGCGTGTGAGCTGAAGTACTCTGCCGTGACATCCACAGTATGCTTTGGACGTGGGCCTGCCAGGGTCGGTGGACCATCAAAACCGGACGCGTCGTCGTCGTCGCCGCAATCGTCAGTCATCGACCAATAAACAGGAAAACGTAACGGCCGTGTCTTGGGTGGTGTGGGTCAGGTGCGATGTCGGTCATGGGGGGACGTCAGGCGCGATGTTGGCCATGGCGGAATGTCAGATGCGGTGCTGGCCATGGCGGAATGCCAGATGCAGTGTTAGCCATCGTGGGAGAGTGTAAGCGTGGACACTTCGGCCTAATGATGGGATTACTTGAGTGCGTCAGCTCCCGCTGCGCCCGTGCACGCCCAATGGCGACTATCTAGAAACTCGCAGGTCGTGTTTGAAGCGGCGCGCTGCGGGCGGTATGGCGCCATGGCTCGCCGTCACCGCTGTAGCTTCGGCGAGCGCTGGAGCGGGACGCCAATAATACGACACACACGGTGGCCCGCCCAAGCGAGAACAGCCAGCTCCGGGGCGTATTAACAGACTGCTCACCGAGATCCCACGGGAATGGTCGGACGCTCCCGAGTTTTTCGTGAGCGCACGCAGGCAGCACCAACTGGCGAGATGGTTCTCAAACGAGCGTGTGTACTCGGTGTCACACGTCGGGCGTACGCACTCACGTCGGAGCAGCGCTCTTGAACAGACACGCACAACCGGCTGGCGCGGTGGTCTTTTCGCTGTCACTGGATATCAAAGTTCGTCCCATCCGTCTGCGCTGACCAACGTCTCGAAGATTGGTATCGGTTCACAGGCGATTCAGCTGGTGTGCAGACTAGGACAACTTGCGTGAATCGCTCCCTGATCAGTCCTGTAGGATCTCGAGTCCCACACGTAATAAGGTTCCAGCATCTGATACGGACCGAATAACTCACCAAAGGAATGTATAAGCCGGAGTAAAACCATGAGACGGCACGGACGCGTCACTGACATACTCCCGGATGGCGCATCTATATAAACGGCATCCAATAAAACCCAGCGCCGCTCTCTCGGTCGGGCACGTCTACCCGGCGGGTCCGTCCACAACTAACTCATCTGCGGCAATGATAAATGATAATACAACTTAACAAAACTGCTACCGTCAGTAACAAGCATAACTCAATTCACAGATGCCAGGCGCCATCACCACAGCGCAACGCCTCAGACCCCACGGCGAGGGGCGTTCACCCGCGTCCTCCACTGTACACCTTAGACCACACGTCCGGCGCAACCTCGCGCTGCTTCACGTCTGCCCGGCTCCACCCTCTCTCACGCAAGCCACCGACACGGCAGCGGGTACAGACGCCGAGAGGCTCAGCCTCGACCCGCCGCCTCAGACGGGGCACAGCCGGCGCACGAACACCTGCGCCAGGTTGTCGTAGTCATAGGGCCGGTTGAGGCCGGCGTCCAGCAGGCGAACGCCCGAGATGGTCTGCAGCCCGAGGCGACGCGCCACCATCTGCAGCGTCACTGGCGCCGTGGCGCCGGGCGCCAGCTGACCCAGCTGGCGCCCGCTGACGCCCCGCCACACCAGGCCCGGCTCGCCGGCCGGCGGCTCCAGACGCAGCGACAGCGCCAGGCTGCGGTCACTGACGCACACAAGATGGGGCGTCAGACACTGACACGCACTAGAGGGGACGTCAGACACTGACACGCACTGGAGGTGCGTAGACACCGACACGCACTGGAGGGGATCGTCAGATAATGACACGCATGGGGGGGGGGGGCGTCAGACTCTGACACGCATTGGAGGGGGCATCAGACACTGGCGCGCACTGGAGGGGGCGTCAGGCACTGACACGCACTGGAAGGAACGCAGGCCCTGACACGCACTGGAGGGGCACAGACACTGACATGAACTAGACGGGGCGTCAGACAACGATACACATTGGAGGGGAAGCCAGACACCGACATGTACTGGAGGGGGCGTCAGACACTGACACGCATTGGCGGGGGGCGTCAGACACTGAGGCGTACTGGAGGGGGACACCGGCGCGCACGGCAGGGAACGCTGGCGCGCACGACAGGGAACACTGGTGCGCACGGCAGGGGAACAATGGCGCGAACGTGAGGGGCGTCAGATGCTGACACAGACGGCGGAGTGCGCGGAGATGCCTCACGTGGGGACGGGGAACGTCAGCGACAGAGAAGGTGCGGCTAGCGTCAGACAGGAGGGCAACATCGCGGCAGGGAGTTGAGTTGGCGGCCAGCACATGGTCAGTGACGCAGAAACATATAGTGCGGGCACATCATCGACAGACACAATGGCGGACACCCCTGAACATCCCACCCAAAGGCTAACAGTGACAAGCACAGCTCCCTGCGAACTTCTCCACTGGCCGGCACACACTCCGACCGAGAACGACACCGACTCTAACGACGCCTCGCGCGAGCTCACGTCTGTCCGCCCTGGCCTCCAGAAGGTGCCCCAGGCCCATCGGCTGGCCGGTGCCACTCACCTGGCGTTCTGCACACGGCACGTGAAGTGGAAAGTCTCCTCCAGCTCCACCACGCTGGGCATGTCCTCGATGGTCAGCCGCAGGTCCCCGTAACCGGGCGTCTGAGGCGACCGAGCCACGTCAGGTCACCTCAGATCACGCCACGTCAGTTCAGGTCACCTCAGGTCAGGTCACCTCAGGTCACGCCACGTCAGGACGGTGGGCGAGACCTCGGACAGCCACCGGTGCGAGCACACGGCTGTTTGGCAGCCTGCTCACCTACAGCCGTAAACACGAGGCCGACGACGTTGCCCACCTGGCCGTCAAACGGCAGCTGTGCGACTTGAACGACTTGATTTCAAAACACCGCCTTTCTGACCACGTGTCTTGCCTAAACAAACCCATCCGCACCCATAATCTCCGGGAACTAACTCCGAAATAGGCCTCTCCCCGTCACCCTGCACACCCCCGCGTCTGTCCCAATGGAGCAGTTGGTGAGAGCGCCTGCCTTCCCATCTACCCAACCGCGGTGAGCTGGATTGGAATCGCTTTTTCGCCATTTTTCCACTATTTTTTCGCGCTCGCTATTTGTCCTTGACAGATATGGCCTGCAGCCAGTGGCAGCAACCGCGCTAAAGGCCACGTGACGTCAAAGGACAGAACGGACTGAGCCCAGCATTGCAGTGCGTTAACCTTTTCGTACCGAACTCTGCCGTTGACCTGGAATTTCGCGATAGGATGATGGGGGCCAGAGATCACGCTCAGCAGATTCGGATTAAGTTATTTTATAACATTCCAACTGCGTCGGCACCCACCAGCCTCCACAGCTTCCTCAGTACAGTTACGTCACCCACCATCCTCTGCAGCTGGCTGGTCTGCAGGCGGCCGCGCTCGCCCAGGTTGGTGCGCCATGTGATGTCCAGCTTGCCGATGTTCGTGACGCCCTTGAGCTGCTTGCTGGCGGCGCGCAGCTCCGGCCGCGGCGCCAGGCAGAACAGGTACTGACGGCTGTCCTGCGGTCCCAGCCAGCCGCTGGGGCCGAACGACGACTCACCGCCGGACACGCCGTTCAGATCGGTAGCTGCCGGACACGGGCGTCCGTCAGGGTCACCAGGTACCGGACACGAGAGTCGGTCAGGATCAGCAGGTACCGGACACGGGTGTCCGTCAGGGTCACCAGGTACCGGACACGAGAGTCGGTCACGGTCAGCAGGTGCTGGACACGGTTGTCGGTCGGGGTCAGCAGGGTACCGGACACGAGTGTCGGTCAGGGTCAGCAGGTACCGGACACGAGTATCGGTCAGGGTCAGCAGGTATCGGACACGAGTACAGGTCGGGGTCAGCAGGTACCGGATACGGGTGTCGGTCAGGGTCAGCGGGTATCGGGTACGGATGTCGGTCAGGGTCAGCAGGCACCGGACACGAGTGTCGGTCAGGATCAGCAGGTACCGGACACCAGTGTCGGTCACGGTCAGCAGGGACACGGGTGTCGGTCAGGGTCAGCAGGTACCGGACACGAGTACCGGTCAGGGTCAGCAGGGTACCGGATACGGGTGTCGGTCAGAGTCAGCAGGTATCGGATACGGATGCCGGCCAGGGTCAGCAGGTACCGGACACGAGTGTCGGTCAGGATCAGCAGGCACCGGATACGGGTGTCGGTCTGGGTCAGCAGGTACCGGACACAGGTGTCGGTCTGGGCCAGCAGGTACCGGACACGAGTGTCTCAGGGTCAGCAGGTACCGGACACCAGCATCGCAGAGGGCCAGCAGCTGACGGACGAACACGACCGCCGGACAGTCAGCAGCTGCTGAACGTAACCAACAGACGGGGGAATCAGGCGTCGAGCCCAGCCCGCTCACTGCTCCGCAAGAGATGGCCATAGAGGCACACACGTAATCCGTAAAAACAGAAACTCTGGGGAAAAAGTGGTGCTGTGCTGCCGTTTCCAACAGCGCAAACAATCACATGCCGAATAAGGCATCCTCATCCCTCTCCGGAAGATCCATTACATAGCAGGCCGACAGTAGGGCCGGCAACAGCAGGCCTAGCTGGCGGCCATGTCGTTGTCGTTGGTGCTGACGATGCCCGGGTTTCCGGACGCGCCGTCGGTGGTAGCCATCTCCCGTCACAGCGACAGGGACCCACCGTCGAAGAGGGGCGACGGTTCCAGCGAGACGCCCTCCATGCACATGGCGGCGGGCGTCACGTTCTGGATCTGCGCCTCCAGGTACACCTCGTCTGACTGGAACAGAGCCGCGCCACCGACGGGTTCAGCGGCGCCGAGAGGCACGCGCGGCGTCCGGGGCCACCCGATGGCACGGCGGTGCACCGGTGCAGCGGATCGCAGGGAACTCGAAGGGCGGTGGATAACTTAGGGTATCGCGGTAAAGTCCGACAGGTACAGGTGAATAAAGCGAACCAGGCAACATTCAAAGGTCACAGAGTACAGGGGAATATACGGCAGTAGATGCGGTTCAGAACGGCACGGTGAGATAACCCACCACGGAGTTACAACATAGCGGAGTTCATCGGGGAGGTTTGGATGCTGGCTGAAGGGTTTACGAGAAGAACAATGACAATATAGTCACTGCCTGGCTGTGGCGGAAGGAAAACACTCAGGTCGTAGACGCTGTTCGCCTGTGACGGAAGGCGACTAGCCGGCATGGCAAACCAGAAACACAGACAGCACAACCCGAAGGACAAGAGAACATGGAAATTGATATGTATATATATATATATATATATATATATATATATATATATATATATATATATATATACCTGCAACGCTTACATAGAAACGTTGTTAATATTTCAGGTCAATTCTGTGCAACGATTCTATTCATTACAAATTCATGTTACAATCGCAAACATGACCAAAACATCTGCGTTTCAAGCGCATAGCGTTGAATGTCCCAGGATCCCCGCAAAGCCTGAAATATGCTACAAAAGCCAAAAAGCAAATAAGCAGGAGCAGCAGTTAGCAAAACTACTCGGAACACAAGCCAGGTGCATAATATGGCATATATGGAACGGTGTTACACCTCCATGTGCTCTGTAAAGGAATGAGAGAGGTCAAATGAAACTTGGTTATTCATCTAATGGGAGATCGCCAGTTTGACGTAATATTCCCGCTGCCAACTATAATGTACAACCAGCTGCGAATGCATCCTTGGACAATCCTCTACTATAGGCGTAAACTATAGGCGTTGGCGTGCTAACCTTGTTTCATGGCCGGCGTGTAATTTGTTTTCAAAATTATGAGGGAGCGGAGGGGGAAGTCGGCATGAATTCGACATTTAATAAAACATTACTCCACTATGTTTAAAATGCATCAGATGAGAATATCTACGACTGCTATGGACTGCGTCTTAGCTTGCAAACACTGCAAACACCGAAACAGTCATCCACACCCCACGGCAACGTCAAACCATCCACCAGAAACACAACCGACATGTGCCAGCCCGCCCCTCGACACCAGCCCCAACTCACAATCGGTTCCTGTCAAGAGCCGGCGCGCTGAGGCGCCGCCCACCGCCACCCGAGGCACGCGCGTGCAACAGAAGGTCGGGGACTCTCTCAGAACTGAGCAGGCGTAGCGCGGCGGGAGCATGCAGCGACCGAAACGACAGAGTCTAGAGCAGCCACGCGGACCGGCCGGCTCGGCTCGGCAGCCTCACACACGACAACTTACAAGCGCCGCGTACTCATCGTACTGGAACACGGACGGCCGTTAGTGAAGCAGGCCGGGGCGCGACGCCCGCGTCCCCGGCGACACCTACGTCTGATCGCAGTCGGGTCAGATCGCGAGGCATGCTCTCACCCCGGTCAGGTCACGTCACGGCACGTCCTGGGTGGACCTGCCACCTGGGTCCACGTCACGTCACGTCACGGCACGTCCGTCGCGTCACGTCACGGCAGGTCCATACTCCCACAGTGCCTTGCGGTCACGCTCCGCCGTCTGACACGACGGGCCGTTCCAGGTCGACATCTCCGCACCAGTCAGTCACGTCTCAGCCACGTCCGCGGGCCGGAGGGGGGGGGGGGGGGGGGGGCAGGGGAGAGGAAGGGCACGTCACGCATGCGCGGCATTCCACTGGGGGATGCGTTGCAACAGCACAGGACGAGGATTATTGCAGGTCCAGGGAGCAGTAAGGCACCGCATCTGGAGCTCTCATCGATCGGACGCGCTTCATGAGAGCGGGCGGCCAAGGATTCGGTGTAATGCACCAAAAGGCAGCGTCCACGTCATTTTAAGGTAGCGAAGCTGAGACACATCGAGAATGTTGGACAATGCTCAGTATTTGGTGAGTTTGTCCAAGATTAGGAGTGGGACGGGGAGGGCGTACAGTAATTTTATTTGTTTCTTTTCATATATATGTGATATACGCTGGGTACATTTTGCCAATGTCAGGAGTGGCTCGAGGTCCTCACATCTTCCAACAGCGTATGTTTTCGCGCGTAAGGCCATGTTTACGCTTTTTCTTCAACATTTAAGGCGTTTACACCGCGCCCCTATCTCTGATGATAAAAACTGAAAAACATTGGTAAAAAAATTGCCGAATGGTAGCCCTGAGATAGAACTCGCACGGATGTCACAATATCACGGATGATCCAGCCTCAACACGCCGAAACAGTGACACCGTTCTGGCGCACCGTTCAGCGCAGCAGAGCTGCTGTCAGTGTCGAAAAAGTGCATCTGATTCACCTCACACCGACTCAAGTCAGAGCAAAGTGTCGCAGCATACGCGGCCCCAGCAAAACAAAAACACCCGCTCAAGCTCCGCACCCGGCAACATCCCCCCCCCCCCGACGCTCTTCTCATAAATGAGCGTGCATCAGCCAGTAGGTTTCAGGGATGTTTTGAGGGGGCAGGGGGGGGGGAGAGGCGTACGACGACGGAGAGAGAGAAGTGGAAGTCCGTCATGCATGTCCTGACCCAGTGATGCGTACTGCCCACAACGCACGAGCGGCGCTCAGCCAAGGGAAGCGTCACATAACGGTGCTGCTGCGCATGCTCCGAGGGGGCGCACCACGGAGCTGAACCGCTACACATGGCCCGAGGGGCTGCGCCGCGGAGCTGAACCGCTGCACATGGCCCGAGGGGGTGCGCCGCGGAGCTGAACCGCTGCACATGGCCCGAGGGGATGCGCCGCGGAGCTGAACCGCTGCACATGGCCCGAGGGGATGTGCCACGGGGCTGAACCGCTGCACATGCCCCGAGGAGGTGCGCCGGGGAGCTGAACCGCTGCACATGGCCAGAGGGGGTGCGCCATGGAGCAGCGCAGTTGCATGGGTTACCAAGCAGGGTACGGCTCGGAGGCGTGCTACTGCGCAGTGCCCAGCGCCAGGCGAAACACAGCGCGTCGGGACCCTGTGGGCTATGTACAGAGTCGAGCGCAGGCGGACAACCGTCTGGCGGTTCTGTACAGGTTTTCATGCGGGGCTCAACAGAGCAATGGCTGCGCTGGTGACGGCTCACGTTGCATGGGCTTATTGAGGTCCTTGAGCGGCAAGCAACGGCGCCAGCTCACCTCCGCGTTGTAGAACTTGGTCTTGACGTCCAGCGGCTTCAGGACCTCAAACTTGAAGAACTTGCGGAAGAACTTGCTGACGCCCGCCTCGCTGATGTAGTTAATGGCGCACACCAGACTGGGGGGCGTAGAACAGTGCAGAGCAAGCCACGCTCGGCGGTACACCGCAACGTGCCCCATCCTGAACCCACTGCATACACACCCAGCCCATGGCCACGATTGTCTTTATTGTCGCCGACGGGGGCGACAATAAAGTGCAGAGAAACCTCAGCCGGAAGCAAACAAACACCATTCATATGTCAACATACCACTGCTGCCCGACGTGCGGTCTGCCGCGCCGGCGTCGATTCACACAGGTGTGCCCCCGGGGACCCTCGCGCGCCCCCATCCACGTGAGCTGCTGGCCTGAGCACGCCCTGTACGGCGGGTCCGCGGCCAGCCTTCCTCCCATCCCCATCCTCCGGCATCCTGAGCAGACCCTATACGGCGGGCCAGTGGCCAGGCTCCCTCCCATTCCTACTCTCCGGTGTCCTGAGCATGCCCTGTACGGCGGGCCAACGGCCAGCCTCCCTCCTGTCTCCACCCCCGGCATCCTGAGCATGCCCTGTACGGCGGGCCAGCAGCCAGCCTTTCTTCCGCCCCCACCCTCTGCAGCTATCCGGGCGCGTCCCGGCCTCCCGCTCCCAATCCCTCTCTGCTGCGGCGCCGCCGGCGACCCTCACATGTGCGCGCCGGTGTCCTTGACCTCGTGGTGGATGACGTGGTCGCGGCTGGCGGCCGGCGGCAGCGTGACGGGCCGCTCGACGCCGCCCGGGCCGGGCGTCAGCGTCAGCCGCTGCGAGCCCGTCTGCAGCTCGGCCCGCACCGTCACGTCCGACGCCGGCTCCGAGCTGTGGTTGTGCACCGACAGGTAGCACGAGAACGTCTCGCCCAGGTAGATGCTCCTGGGGGAGGGGAGATGAGAGAGCGAGGGTTAGGGCACCGACAGGTAGCACGAGAACGTCTCGCCCAGGTAGATGCTCTTGGGGGAGGGAGATGAGAGAGCGAGGGTTAGCGAGTGTGACCCGATACGCAAAACCACGGTCTTGTCCACTGGCGGAAGCAAAATGAATTACGGTAAATAGTCGGCAGCGATGCAGAGAGTCGGCGATAAAACAACGCCACGATGGCCGTGGAAACAGTGCCGGAAGGCAATTTAAGATCAAACATTCGATTGAAGTATATTCTCATACCACATACCTAACGACTAGCTCAAAGCTCGGCTTCGCGTCACACCTATGACTCCACCACAAAACAGTCAAGGCGTCAAAAAAAAACTGCCAATATCACACCCCCGACCCTCGTCTGGACCCCATCCTTCACCACTCAAGGCCATGCCGCACACCCCAAATGGGCTCACAACAAACAACGCAACCAAATTACGCCCGCCATGAAGTGTCCTCTCCCTGGCACAGCCCCCGTAGTAATGATTCAATCACACCGGCGCGTCTCACATTCCCGCGTGGCGTCGACTGCCCCGTGCTCGCTGCCCGCTTCACCCGAGCTCTAGACGCGGCCCACGGCGCTGCTCCGCGCCGGCTGCCCGCCTCACCCGAAGCTTTGGGGCAGCAGCAGCATCTCGCCCAGCTGGAGGTCGGGCAGGTCGGGCAGTCTGGTCACGTCCGGCGCCGAGGTCAGCGTCGCGCCGGGCAGGTCGCGCGGGTCGCAGGACACTACCGGGTTACTGTACAGCGTCGGCCGCGTCAGCCGCATCACTGCAACGGCAGCGAGCGGTCCATGAGAACACGGCGCCACCACGGCAGCAGGCAGACACGGCTTTTGAACTAAACACCTCGCCTGTTGCCCACACATATATTTACAGCTGCACATTGTTCAGGTTCAAATTGCTCAAGCTGCTGTACTTCGATGCCATTATCCTATCCGCACATCTCCAGCCAGGACAGTGTCACGTGGAGACGAACAGCAACACCGACGGCCAACGACCTGGCCGCTGCCCGCTGGTGCCGGTCGTGATTGGTTAGATATGACGTCATACTGTGCATGCCGCAGCGAACCTGCACCTTTTCTTCAGCACAATTATGATTTCAGCACTCTTAGCAAAAACAAATAGCATAACCACATCCATTGAGCACGGTTTAAGCACCTCATATTTGAGCTAATTATATGTCCTGTAATAACCTTCAAGGGTGAAATGTTCCCTTTAGTTGCACGCAAAAAGAAATCAGCCGGTGAAAGTACTAGAGTTAAATGCACATGATACGGACAACACCAAACAGTTATGGTCTACAACCGAATCACCCTCGATGGTAAGTATGCTGTACTTCATTGGGTCTCGATGGTCCGCCCAACACAAAAGCACATTGTTCGGGCATTCGTGTATTCCACCCACAGTGCTTCCGGCAAGGCACCATACGCAGCGCGCCATTCGCCGGCCCAACTGTTTATCAGCAACACCAGTAGATGGTCCATCAAGGCCGATCTTTCCGAACCGTTCCATAGCCGAATGAGCGCTGATTTGCACCGATGACGTCATGATAAGCCGTGTCCCAAACGGGAGTTCCAAGCCTGTTCCATCAGCAAACTCCCAGTCCAATATTTGGAATGCTCTGGCCCCGCACACAGCCGACCAGACCTCCCTGTACTGCGGGTTTCACCTATTTCCGTCGGTAGCTGATCGACGTCAGCGTGCAAGCGGAGTCCACGCGCAAAGCGGTCCACTTTGAAACAAAACGATTGACGATTATCAGCACCGCATATGCCAACCAGTCACGCACCTGTGGCCATGGACAGATCGGCTCTTCTCGTTCCACGCCGATGTGATGTGTACCTCGGTACTAATCGACACCTTGTCGCCACCATGTCACGACAGTTGCACTGGGGAGCGGTCGAAGACCCATTCGGAGGCCATACCGACCACAGTGACGGGTACCCATGGGCCCTCACCTGCCATCGTTCGCGTCCGCTTGTTCGACGCCGTACGTGTCCATCTATCGGACGTACGGTCCCAGTGGCGGGCGCCAGTGATCCCTCCTGTGGCCCCTCACTCGGCGCCGTACGTGTCCATCTATCGGACGTACTGGTCCCAGTGGCGGGCGCCAGTGATCCCTCCTGCGGTCCCTCACTCGGCGCCATACGTGTCCATCCATCGGACGTACTGGTCCCAGTGACGGGCGCCAGTGATCCCTCCTGCGGTCCCTCACTCGGCGCCGTACGTGTCCATCCATCGGACAGTACTGGTCCCAGTGACGGGCGCCGGTGGGCCGGCGAGCGAGCGATGGCCGTGCGCAGGTCCTCCTCCGTCAGTGGCGCCGGCCGCACCTGGTCGCCGCGGTGCCACCGTCGCCATCCTCGCCCTCCAGGCGGCGCAGCACGGCACGCAGCGAGCTCATGGCCGCCTCGCGGCACACCAGCTGAATGTCGGCCGCCGAGTAGCCGTCGGTGAGCTCGGCCAGCGGCTCCAGCAGCAGCGCCGGGCTCAGGGGCCATTCGGCCAGGTAGTGCTGGAACACGGCGGCGCGCTCGGCCGGCGACGGCAGGCCGACCAGCACGCGCTTCTCCAGCCGCCGCAGCAGCGCCTGGTCCAACTCCCAGGGCAGGTTGGAGGCGGCGAGCACGAACACGGGCTGCGGGCCGCGCGCCAGCCCGTCCAGTTGCACCAGCAGTTCGGTCTTGAGGCGCCGCGAGGCTTCGTGCTCCAGGCCGCCGCGCTGGCCCATCAGCGCGTCCAGCTCGTCCAGGAAGACGGTGGCCGGCGCGTGCGCGCGCGCTAGCTCGAACAGCACGCGCACCAGCTTCTCCGAGTCGCCGTGCCATTTGCTGACCAGCGTGGCGGCCGACACGTTGAAGAAAGTCGTCCTGCACTCGGTGGCCACGGCCTTGGCGAGGCAGTGTCTTCCGTTGCCCGGCGGGCCGAAGAGCAGCAGCGCGGCGCCACGGCGTGACCAGCGTGCCGGCGAAAAGGCGCGGGTACCGCAGCGGGTACACCACCGCCTCGCGCACCACGCGCTGGCCGACTCGAGACCGATGATGTCCGCCCAGCGCACGCCCCGGCTCGTCGAGGTAGAGGTCGCGCGAGACCAGCTCCGCCATGGCCTGCAGCTCGGGCCCGGCCGGCGGCGGCAGCTGCGCAGCGTGCGCCGGCGCGCCGGCCGCTCCGGCTCTGCCTCCTCCCTCGTGCCCGGCGGCGCGCACCAGCTCTCGGCCGCGCAGCAGCAGCAGCTCGGGCGGGTGGCGGCGGGGCGCCCGGGTCGCCGCCGCGGCCGGGGTCGGCCGGCGCGCGCGGCCGGCCCCGCGGTCGCTTGCCGACGCGGCTCGCGCCGCCTGCGGCTCGCCGCCGCCGTCGGTCCGCGCGGCGCGTTGAGCCGGGGCACACGCTGGTAGCGCAGCTGATAGTAAGCCTCGTAGTCTTGCAGCACCACGTCCAGGTCGACGTTGTCGCAGAGCTGTTGCTGGCCAAGGCCAGCGGCGCCTCCGCCAGCAGGGCTTCGGCCGCCCCCGCGTACCCCTCGCAGCGCAGGTAGGTACTGGTGCACGAGCACGAGCAGGCAGCGCCGCCGCTGCTGCAGCCGCTTCTCGGCCGTCTCGCGCGCCAGCGTGTCGCAGCGCAGCGAGCTGAACGTTAGCTCCGACGTCGTCATCCGTGTCTTAATGACAGTCAATAACACACTTTCCGACCGCCGCTACAAGCAATAACAGCAGACTTGATTGTGATAACGGACAGCGGCGCCAATACTGCAAGCTGAAGAGCCTCCCCCGCAAACACATCGAGTACCGCGTCCCCGTCAAAAACAGATAACAGCACCTGCCAGTTGTTGGGACGCCAGTGGTTGCCATGGCAACGGCAAGTATTAAATCAATTCTACTGGTATTCCGTGTTGTTTGATCACACAGCCAGGGTATACGGGCTATATCCCGCATCACCGAACGGCACCTAAAATTATGCACATATTGCCAACACGCAAAAGCTGCCAAAACTTCCCGACGGTGAGTGATTTTCCCTCGCCTCCTCGCGCTCCAGAAAGTGAGTCACATGGTCTAAAATCGGTCAGTCACCAGAGCATACGATGGCGGGGACACACCTTGCTCTGATTTCAAGCCTCCTTCGGCAAGACCACACCCAGGGTCTTGTCAGGGACGTAGCTATATGTCTCGCGGCCGCCAGCTCCAGAAGCGTTCTCATTTCTAGCAACTAATCACATCTTTGCTTTATATGAATTCATGGGTACGGAGTTCGAGAAAGCTTGGATGCCGTCCTGGTTCCGGAAGATCTTTTTTTAGTCGAGGCGCGCAGAGTAAACTCCTAGCGTTTCACGTGAAGGGGCCTGTGTGATCTGTCTCAGGAGGCTGGAGCCACAGACCCCCAGCACTTCAGGGTGCACCAATGGCTCTCGTATCAATAGTTATAGCTAACTTAGTCATGTGGATAAAGGCTCGGCCAGACAGCCGCAAGTAGTCAACAAATTTTTGTTCAAGTACGTTCATGGGCTCCGCCCATGTCATGTACATGTTTCATGAGTCCTGGGATCGCGTGGGGGTTGATATTCCCCCATCCAGCCGCGTCAGTTTCCGGTTAGATCCTTAGAGGCCGATGATCAAAAGTGACCATGGTGATCATTGGTGGTAAATTAAAGCGACGGGGCCGGTAAGGGCGGTAGAGCGGTAGAGGCGGCAAGCGAGCACGTACAAGAACACGGGTAAACGGGCAAGAAGGCCTGAGTTGCAAGTGCTCGAGGAACGTCCAAAAAAGGAACATCAAGGGAAGGCAAACAAATGAGCACCGGGCCCGGATCGGACCGGGCGCGATTCAACACCCAGCACGTACATAATCAAGGCGGTGTTGTTCAGGGATCACAGCAGGCACAAGTCACGGAAATCATCCCCCGTCGCTGGGGAATGGGGGGGGGGGGGAGGAGGGACCATAGCCCCCTCGGCCGTACGGTAATGTATTGCCCCGGAGCGGCAGGGACCATGCTATTACTTTAAAGAGCTGGCCACTACAATCATCGGGTTAGGCCCACAGCATCAGTTCCCCTTCCGCCTCCCAACAGATAAGCGCCTGACTTCCTCCATACAAGCAATCGTCGTAGCGACAATGCCAACACCGGGGAGGTGCCACGGATTTTAAGTTGGGGGGCAGACTTTCCAAGGGCCTCCTGAACAAAAAAGGGTTGCTCAAAGGGAGGCCTCCTGGGCAGCGTCGTTTCCAGGGAGCAACACGAGCCTCTTAGATTTGTCATTACAGTTGGCAATGTTCGTGTGAATAAATGTCGACCACAACAAAATCGCGAACAAGAGTCTTCTAATCAATACTGGGGATCCCAGACGCAGCAAAGGGACTCCTTACCTTAAGAGGGGCTCCAGTTCCATTAAAGGGTCTTCCAGCGCACAGGAGTCTCCAATTACAAAACAAGATCTTTCCTTTTCACAAAATGGGCCTCCAAATCCGGCAACGGGTTTCAATATCTCACACCAGAACATGCAGGCCCGGAAAGGCGTTTGACAAATGAGAAGCACCTACTGATTTAGAAAAGAGGCCTCCTGATATGTCAAGGGTGCTTCCTATTCCAAAACAAGGGACTCCCAGTTCATAGCGGGGCCTCTCCAGCCAGCAGTCTTTGTCAACACAAAATAACGAAATAGTACCTCCTGATCCACCAAATGGGCCTCTTCGTGCAGAAAATGGTTTTCTGGGCCCGAGTTGTTGCCCGTCAGTCAGCTATGGTCTTCTGAGCCCCAGTTATTGCCACTCAGTCAGCTATGAAGAGCCTCCTTGAATCTACTTTTGGTGAAATAAATGTAGAGACTTCATCTTCAGTTTGGGAAAAGTGGTCCCCAAAATTATGAGGGGGCAAAACATATTTCAGTGGTAACTGTCATGTCATTCCCCTCCTACGTCACCCCCGGTCGTCTCACTACCTTGATGACATTTTGGAAATGTTTGCTTTGGGGCAAATTTACAGTACACGTCTGGGGCGCAAAATGACCACAGTAGTCGACGCGACCTAAAACTCCAATCAACAACAACGATACAGTACACATCGAACTTGAGATCCTCCGCGAGCGGAACAAAAAATGTCTCAGGAATCAAAACATTTTCAGTTATTCAGGGTAGAACCGATTCCATGACATTTTGTAGCGAGCTGAAATCCGAGTTGGGCCAACCTAATCATCTAAGCCAACACGAACGGAAATGTCACTTATGGCACATACTCAAATAACAACTAATCCCCAATGTGGCATGTACTGTAAGGACCAACTAGGGCAGTCGGGCGTGACTGTGTCTAGGGGTGTGTTATGTAGGCTTCCATGAAATCCATAGAACGTCTGCCTCTTATATCATCAACGCAAACGATCTCATTCGCATCGACTCAGGTCAGAATCGGGATCGATCGGCAGAAACTGCGCTTTCCGAATCAGGGCCCCGGTTATGCACAGTCAGGTGCTTATTAACTCTCCTTCGATGCACCGTCATACAGAGCTCCTCCTCCCTCCCTCGTGTTCTTACGTCTGTGGCACAGATATAGTGCGTGACCTCCCTGTATGACCTCCTTTGACTGTCCCCCATAATTGGCATGACCTACGGAGTGCGGGTGCGGGGACTCCGGCCCGCTAACAGGCCAGCGCGACATTTGCACGGATCCCGTCTCCAACCGGTCAAGCGGGACACATTCCGTTTCGTAACAGGGTCCCGATGGCAATCGCTAGGCGTCCCGGCTCGGTGCCCCCGGGCTCACGGTTACGCAACGTGACCCCGCGTGCTGGACTAGGACATCGAACCGATGAGAGGCTACGCGAAAGAAGCCTTTCCATGGGAGGCGCGACTCGCCTCGCTGCCCTCCGGTGATTGCCAGAAGCACGGGAGCAATGCAACGGCGCAATGGCACTGTCAAACACGCCAAAAGTCAATCATACATGGGCTGCGAAAAGGCAAGTATCGCGCGGGGGAAGGAGAGAAGTCTCCTGGCAGGCAACAGTAGGCACGTGCATGGGCACCGCGTCGAAAGACAGCTTCAAAATCATCCACATCCCCAAACCATTTAGCCGTGGCGAGAGGACGTTACTGATCGCGGGAGGGCCACAGCACTCTCCTTCTTGGAGGCAAGTGCATACAACACTCTCCAGATAGAGCAGTTCAGTATAACTTTTCCAGGCCGGGTTTCGTTTGATAGGGGCGGTGATGGTCTGGGCCGGTCTCACTTCTCTGTGCAGCTGACATATGTTAACTGACATATGTTAACATGCAGCTGACATATGTCAAACAGCCAGCGGTCGTGAAGCTGCTGCCGCACTTCCAACATCAAAAGCGAACATCTCACAGCCGCCTGAAAGCAAAGCTTGCAGGTCGTAACCCACTGACCACCAATGCTCGCTTTCCGTGACCGCCAGCATGCAAAAGTTGCCGGCTTCAAAAAGATTCTGCACTAGGATTCTCTTTCGCGCCGCAATTCCCAAGCGCCGGGGTAACCAGAGGCAGCAGCCCCGACTGTTGCGGCCTAGCCCGCGGCAGAGCATACAGGTTACGTTACAAGCACCTGGGCCGCGCTCCCTTTTACCAAACGCCGTCCACAAGCTGCAACTTATGACGTCATACGTAAGTCCGTCACAGCAGTTCTTACGGCTTAGAATACAGTCGCTTATGTAAAGTGTGGGCGCTTACAACGTCATAGGTAGCAAGTCAGATAGCTGCTTTGCCAGTGGGCGACGCGGCCTTGGCAGAACACCCGAGCCGAAGACAAGCCGATGACGTTCGTGATGGTGAACTCTTCGTATTTCAGTCCGTGCCAGATTGAGCCTACAGTAGTGGAGCACAGTACATTACCAATGCGCTTGCGGAACAATGGCAATCACGAAATGAAAAGATCACGCCCAGATATGATGCGGCATCTACACCGCGCTTCCGCTCTCTGTGTGGCCGGCAAGCGCTCCCCCTTCTTTTTCGGCCACATGACGTGCAGTCCGCTTTGCTCCCATAGTTGGCGGCTCTAATGACGCGGCCGAGGGTACCACTGCGGCCTGATGTAGAAGTGACTTGGAGACGCAGCCACGATGTCCCTCTGCCCGCGGTGGTTCAGAGCACACCTCTTCGGCCGGGGACCGCAGCACCCGCGGTGGTTCAGAGCATGCCTCTTCGGCCGGAGACCAGAACACCCGCGGTGGTTCGGAGCATGCCTCTTCGGCCGGAGACCAGAGCACCCGCGGTGGTTCAGAGCATGCCTCTTCGGCCGGAGACCAGAGCATCCGCGGTGGTTCAGAGCATGCCTCTTCGGCCGGAGACCAGAGCACCCGCGGTGGTTCAGAGCATGCATCGTCGGCAGGGAGACCGGAGGACCCGCGGTGGTTCAGAGCATGCCTCTTCGGCCGGAGACCAGAGCAATGGGCGTCATCTTGATCTCACTGTCGGTCGTCATTTGACCGTCATGTTTGCTGCCTCTGTGGTTTAGGAGAAAGG